CATAATGCCGTTTATTGTAACAATGTACAACTTCACCCCTAAAGCCGTTTATTGTAACAATGTACAACTTCACCCCTAAAGCTGTTTATTGTATCAATGTATAACTTCACCCCTAATGCCGTTTATTGTAACAATATTGTAACAATGTATAACTTCACCCCTAACGCCGTTTATTGTAGAAATGTATAACTCCATTTATAACGGCGCAAATGTATTATTTCAATAACGACAAAGAAATAATGAAATATGTCACTAACACAGACATTATATTACCATTGTGTTAATGAAGAATTGTTTACAACATCATATTGTATTATTGCTACCTGAAGCTTCATATTTTCTTCGCTTTGCATTTTGTATATATGCACATTTTTTCCTAGATAAAAGGCCATATTCCCTGTCTCTTTATTTCATGCTGTTGTTCGATGCGTGTGATACTAGAAACACAACCTATTTTCGGCCACTATAAACACAAGATATATCATATGGGATGTTCAGGGCTGCAATCCTGTTACGTGTTAATTACTCATCATGTTAAATATAAGGAAGTTTTCAACAATGGATTTCTCACTCGGAGATATAAAATCACATATTGTACGGTATCCCATTATTTGAAAAAAGTAAGAGTTGAACCTACACTGCACAATCCAAATCATATGGGAAACAAAAAGCAACTTGCACGAACTACCTTCATTGTTCACAGAACATTTTGAATTTATTACTTTTCTCATGCTAATAGTTCTGTAATAATTATTTGGTTTTGGGTATCGTATGTTTACTTGTTAGTGATAACTGACAGAAAACCGGAAAATAAACATGAGTTACAAAGCACTTAACATTCAAATCAATAACATTGATTCACCTTTAACAATCTAGTTTAGTGTTTCTCAGTTGTGACACGTTCAATGCTTCCTTACACGTTTGTAAATAGTAACAGCTGCACTAACTGATAAAGTTTTCGTTATCACACGACTAAGCTTGTCAATTTTGAAATCCATCCTTCCCGTAAGGAACAGGAGAATATCAATGAAACGTTTAGGAAACATTAATTATGAAAATCTAAAGGAAAACTTTCGAAAGATTGTATTTACTGGAGCATATGAGATAGGTTTATTGATCCAGATGTTCGTTACCATGCCTGGTTGTTCCGTAGTAGTTTACCTTGTTGTCATTTGGTAACGTGACGTCGTCAATGACGAAGCAGTTTGAGTTGTATCCGTTTTGACATGTTGGTTTTTTCTTTATTAATTTCATCTCATTTGCGGTACTGTGCTACCCAGTAACAGAGTAACACCAGTCAATACCAATCGTTTGTTTCATCATTTGCGGTACTGTGCTACCCAGTAACAGAGTAACACCAGTCAATACCAATCGTTTGTTTCATCATCAATACCAATCGTTTGTTTCATCATTTTTTAAATACAGCATCTCGTGGAGAAACATTTCGATATCACATTTACACTAGAGATTTTTCGTCTCATTTCCAGTCTGTTAACTTAGACTTAGATTTATGCCTGTTTGTTTTAAACTTATTTCTGGTCATTCGGAATCGTATCACTATTTTGAATATTATCTGCATGATCACAATCTGTATCATTTTAAAGCACGGATGTTAATTTAGTCTTTGGACGTCTTCTTTATGCTTGAAAATACCTCTTTGATAAATTCATAGTTTTAATTTAAGGTTATTTGTGCTCTATACAAAAAGGATTTTCTCTTCATTATATCATTTAAATATATCAATTCATCGTTCATAAACATTGAAAAATATGATATTGAATTTCATATGGTGTTAAACTCTTTGTAAACGAGTTCATTATTAACAAAATTTTATTTTTCTTATCAGTTTAAAAATATAACTGAAAACTTTACTATGACGAATATTGAGCAGACAACGAGAATACATCATATGTCCTTCTGGGCCTTCTGGGTGTTCATACATATTAACAACTGTAACGTGATTTTACTTTTTAACACCTGTAATGTGATTGTACTTTTTAACACCTGTAATGTGATTGTACTTCTATAACACCTCAATCATACTATCGTATGCAACCGTTTCACGAATGTCATATATCAAACTTCTCCAAACGCAACCAGGTTCGATTTTGAAACTGTACACTTACATATTTAATGTTGGGAAACTCCATTATTAAGTGCTGTTTCCATCTCCATATAACTTGATATAAAACAACTAAGTATAGATATTATTCAATATTATACAACAGTAACTAGATGTTATTCATTGTAATACAACAGTAACTAGGTATTTTACATTGTTATACAACAGTAACTAGGTATTTTACATTGTTATACAACAGTAACTAGGTATTTTATATTGTTATACAACAGTAACTAGATGTTATTCATTGTTATACAACAGTAAGCAAATATTGTGCATTGTTATTCAACAGTAAGTGGATGTTAATCATTGTTAAACAACAGTAAGTAGGTGTTATCATGGTTATACAATAGTAACTAGGTATTTTACATTGTTATACAACAGTAACTAGGTATTTTACATTGTTATACAACAGTAACTGGGTGTTAACCATTGCTAAACAACAGTAAGTAGGTGTTAAACATGGTTATACAATAGTAAGTAGATAATTTTCATTGTTATACAATAGTAACTAGATGTTACTCATTGTTATACAACAGTAACTAGGTATTTTACATTGTTATACAACAGTACCTATGTATTTTACATTGTTATACAACAGTAAGTAGGTGTTAAACATGGTTATACAATAGTAAGTAGATAATTTTCATTGTTATACAATAGTAACTAGATGTTACTCATTGTTTAACAACAGTAACTAGGTATTTTTCATTGTTAAGCATTAATAAGTCGATGCTACTCATTGTTATACAACAGTTATTCGGCATTCAGACATCATATTGTGATGCAGCTTTTCCTTGACGGCAATTATGTTAAGTGTTCGTGTTTTCTTATATAGAAAGTTTCACACTAATTGGCAGAATAAATGACACACAGTTTAAGACGCCGGATGCGGCGATATCAGGTCCAGTCGTAAAGTAGTTTTATTATATCTGAACTCCGTCTCTTCCAAAACCTCCCCGTCAGGTCATTGAACCAAAGATGGATATTTGTAATCAAAATAACAAAATGCTGATATATTTGTTTAGAAGATGATATAAAAAATTACTTATTAATATACGATAAAATTGATTTCATGTAGATGCGATGGTCATTGATATATATTCACTATATACGTGGCGAGAATGCCTCTTCTGATAAGGTCTAAAGTTTAAAACCAATCAGCTAATAATTCGGATAATAAGGGTATGACTTCAAAAACCACAAACGATTTCGAGTCTGCAGGAAATGTTTCTGGGGTTTCTTCTTGTGACGAAATAATGATATTGTCGTGCTTACTTTCCGTCCAATCTCGCCAACCCCGACGACAAATATGTCATTTAAATGTCACCTAGACAGTGTCGTTAATTCCGGTTGAGGTAGGTATTACAGAATCTTAACAACACTAAGCGCTAAGCGATCGCGTGTAGAAAAAAGTAAATAATATATAAATGCGATTTGAACCACCATTACAGATACGTACAATTAGATCAGTCATACTTTCTTTCTTTTTTCCGATAGTCTCAATGCCTGACAATCCCTTTCTTAACACTTTGAAACTGTTAAAAATCAAATTTTCTTACTTTGTGTGACGGTATTTATAAATACACATGTATATCTTTTCAGCCTTCAATTAGATAATCTCTAAATCATTTTCGGTGTCTCATTTCTTTGAATGGATCCACTTCTATCTCATCCTGCAGCCATTTTGGAGTAAACTATTCTTATCGCTTATAATCTTTGCTTGGAGAAAATTTGACACTTCAGCTACTTTTTCTGTAATTGTCTATGTCCTTGGAAAAAAAATCATGATTCCCACAACAGCAAAATTTCAGACCCGACACAAACATTTACATCACATCTTATATTTGCATTTAATTGTATTAATGGATTAACAAATGCAAACAAACGAAACACAACTTAATCTATAAAAAAATCACTTAAATAGTCCTGTGACACAACATTAACAGATGTTGTCGAGCGACGGGTGGCGCAGCAATCAGAGACAGTTCCTCGGACACGTCATTAACATTGTTACAAGGTTATCTTACGTAAACATTACACAATAACACACTTATTTTAAAAACTCTGAAGTTTATTGAACTTTCGGGGTTATGCATCTCGCCGTCTGATTTCTTTAATATCCCCTTTGTCGAATTTTGATTTACCCCATTCGCCTCATCTGTTCAAACACTAAATAGGCCTAAATCGCTTACGAGCCCTGGAAGGACGAAACAGCAGTGTAGTGCAGTTTAATTCATTAATCGGTCCTTCTGTATTTAACTCTCAATTAGTCTTGAAAGGTACTATTCAGTGGAGTGTCTTTTGCACATCCTTTACACCAATATACTCCGAGGATGTCTTCAAACATAATCAAATGTTTTACTTCGACGAAAAATTGTCTAGCAGACAAGAAAAGTCCGTCGTTGTTTCCTGATGGCTTCATTACTGCTTACTTTGTTCTCACTTAGGAACGTGACATTATTTGGATTGATCAACGCTTACACTTATTCTCCTGGCGCTTTTTCAGGAATCTCCGTGTAAATGTTACTTTTATTCATGTTGTTCTAGTTTCATAGAATTTTAGTTCAGATTAAGATTCTTTTAATATGTCGGTATTTTCCATGTTTTTTAGAACAAGGCTTATCGAGATGATTCCGTTAGTGACAAGAATTCTTAGTTCATTGGCTTCTGTATAAGACTTTGTATGAGTAGTCGATAAACCATTCTCGTTAGAATCCACCGACTTTCTTTAGAATTTAAAGTCTCGCCCTTAAATCCAATATCCCACACAACAGCTCGACTTGGACATTTACATATAGGAATATTCGCATGTATTATCTAACATAGTACGCTTTGGATAACTCTTCAAACCTTGGTGAAAAAAAAAGACAGACTGTCATATTTATAAACTTTATTAAGAAAACTCTGTGATTGATAATCGATTTCTCACAAATTGTGAACATGAAAAACATTACATGTATTTACATCAACGTCACATCAAAAGGAATAGGGTGCATTGTATTATGTGTAACTTCACGTTTTTGATCTACTGACTATAACAATCTATTTAAAGTCCCAATCGACTCTGGATAGGAAAAAACAACAGAGGAAAACGTCACAGCTTAACAGCTACACGATTGGTCCTCGTATATATCAACTTATACCATTTCGGCATTAACATGGATCTGAGCATTTATATGTATATAAACAAGAAAATAACAGTATTTGATATTAACGAATCAGTATAAGATGCTGGTATCTAAGGTACCGTACAATAAGGCAAGATCTCATTAGTAAATGTTTTTCACATCTTTTTGAGTTTTCAACCTCAAGTGAAATGATAAAAATATTGAACAATAATAAGGGTATTTAAAATTTTTTAGACTAATCACATCTCCTCAAGATGATCAGAACTAGAATTATGCTATAAACTGTATCATTGTAGTTTCTAAATAACACAAAAGTCCATGTATATTATAACGAAAATACGTGTCTCTGTGTTTCTGTATCACCACTTACAGAACACCCATATTGGTGAGTTCGCGATCCAACTGGCACGTAGCACAGGGTCCACAGCATGTCAGGGTCATACAGTCATTGCACACAGATCCCTGTAAGTATAGACACAATATGTAGAATACAAAAGAAAACATTTCATGACAAACATGGAGCCCAATTGCCCTACCAGTCACCAGAGTTCTATAAATATACCGCAATAAGCATTACCTTAACAAAGTAAGACAATTTTAATTACATCGTATGTGAAATGCACCATATGCATAACATAAGCTGTATTTAGTTCTAAGTTAACTTTGTGTTTATGATTATTTCCAATGCAAATTAAAGAAATTATGTCCAAAATATAACAAACTGAAGTACTGTTTAACCTCTCCACAATGAGGGTGGGGGTGTAAGACTCTTTGGTGATGGAATGTTGCGGAAGTATCCAAGACCCTACTATAACCGAAAAACGTTTGATTCTACTATCTCTGTTTTTCGAGAAGACTTGAAATTTTCGACAATTTGACCCCTTCTAGTCCCGCCTATCAGCCCCTTGTGGGTCAGACAGGGTCAATATGTTCATATTATCAAACTATCATCATATACTGATAATGCTTACCATTTTTTCCCCAAAAATTTCGACGTTTCACAAAAAGGACAAGGTATGGAAAACTAACCATTGGCAATATCCTTTTTCACGTTAATGCCGATATTTAATTCATTCAATGTAAACGAAATGTGTAAAAAAAACTTAAAAGTAGAATGAATGTCGGAGATTACTATAGTAGTAATATAACGATATATATTTCAGGGATACATTTCCAGAAAAAATCTGACATTGAGTACACACTGTGTTGTAATGTACATTGAAAACAAGCCTCCTGTTATGGTAAGCTTTTCGCCGTATCCTTCGATCAAAGTACTTTTCAAAATCAACCGTACTCAGATTTTCAGGAAGCGAATGATGTATGTGTTCTTGTGTTATTCCGCACAAAAAAATGTTGCACATAACATTACTTTGTGTATGCTTAACAGAAATACTCCATATGACATTGTAGCGAAATCCAAATCGGCGTAAAAATGTTTGAACGTCACCGGTAAGCGACGCCATTCATTGTGTTTTCTCATCCGTTAAAAATCATGCGCCACGCCCGCCCCCTCCCCTCAACGTCACCGGTAAGCGACGCCATTCATTGTGTTTTCTCATCCGTTAAAAATCATGCGCCACGCCCGCCCCCTCCCCTCAACGTCACCGGTAAGCGACGCCATTCATTGTGTTTTCTCATCCGTTAAAAATCATGCGCCACGCCCGCCCCCTCCCCTCAACGTCACCGGTAAACGACGCCATTCATTGTGTTTTCTCATCCGTTAAAAATCATGCGCCACGCCCACCCTCTCCCCTCAACGTCACCGGTAAGCGACGCCATTCATTGTGTTTTCTCATCCGTTAAAAATCATGCGCCACGCCCACCCTCTCCCCTCAACGTCACCGGTAAGCGACGCCATTCATTGTGTTTTCTCATCCGTTAAAAATCATGCGCCACGCCCACCCTCTCCCCTCAACGCCCCTTTTTCCAATTTCAATTTCATAGGTTATACAAATTTTTAAGTATACTGTTTAACTGTTTATTGCCAGACTGTTATTTCAGACTGTCTATCTGTGATATTCAACATGTTTATACATGTACTACATATTGCACAACATACACGTACCGGTGTCTTGCCGTACACAATAAACTTCACATGTGCAGCTAAGTGTGACTAACACCATTGTAATTCTGTTCCGTGTACATAAATAAATACCCACAAATTCTGTTTTTGATTACATTCAAATGTTACCGTAAATAGTTGTGGTTATGTACACGTTTTCTTTTACATTGCAGATAATTGTCGAAATTCATGTAATCTTTCCGGTTAACACCACTTAGTTATCAATACACTCGACAATTTTTTCTCCTTCTCTAGGGTAAGACCATTGTGTTATGTCGCCACCATAAAAAAACCTCAATACTGAAAGTCTCATCTACATTACAGAGATTTTACAATCTTTTTAACTGTGTAGGAGAATAAAAGATTGGGGCAAATATTCTTTAAATAACTTTTACAGTACCACAGATTTTATACTCGTGAAAATTGGCGATACGTCCTATGGATAACCAATTTAGTTCAAGGGATACACACGCCCATTAAGTCGACGTTGTTGTTTATGTCTGTCTTGGCATTTTCAATTATCTATCAAAATTGATTACTGTCACTTTGAAATTAAATAATTGAAACATTTCATGATTTTAACCATTAAAATCGCTTCAAATTCATAAAACTCACCTGTATACCACCCATTGTTCTGACCCTGGCTCGCATGGCAATGACTCCTCCCGGGACACAGTAAGGCATACAGCAGCACTCCCCAATACGACTGGCTTGTTTGCATTCCATACATGGCAAACAGAAAAACGTCAGGAGACCTGCATAGGTTAAAGGGATAGACAAAATTTATTATTATTGGGGCTTTTCACCATTTATTGTTTTTGTTATGTTTCTTATTATTATTATTATTATTATTATTATTATTATTATTATTTTTCTTCCGAACTTTGTGGGTTCGTAATCTTTTAAACGGTTAAGACCACACCTAATATGTATTGACTATGTTATAGGTACATACTGGAAGGTGACGATGCAGATTTTTTAAGTAGGTCAAAAATCCAATATGGCCGCTATGACGTCATAAGTTAAAAACTTTAAAACGGCCGTAACTCGATAACCGTTGAGTGTACAGAGTTTGTCCAATTATGTTATTTGTAGACAATTTCCTTATCTAACTTTTCCTCATGCCATTATAATACAAAATATGTCTAATAAAAAAGCTTGCTGTGGGGTCAATATTTGAAAACAAAAATTTTTTTTTTCAATTTTGATTTTTCTTGAAAATTTCTTTAACACATCGATGCAGAATGTCCTTCCGATGAATTTAGTGATTTTAGTTTTTCTGTAACGTTTACCACTTCCGCTGTATGCCATTTTGAAAATTTCCTTTGATCTTTTAAAAATGCCTACAAATAGGAAAAACTCGTTCTAGAACAATATTGATGGGCTATATTTTATAAAATTGTTACTAAAAACATTTCCCCATATATCTTCTATCATTTTGTGACATATTCAAATTCATCGGAAAAACAAAATGGCCGCCATGACGTCATTTCAGATTTTACCTAAAATGCCGTAACTCAAGAAATGTTTCAGCTAGAGACCTCAGTTTTAATCATATTATGTAAAATAATAAGAAAACACTTTTCACAAGAAAAAATCTGGGATCAAAGGTCAACTTCCGGTCTTCGGTAGGGATCAAAGTTCAAAAGTGTTATTTTAAGTTACCAACTTTGACAAACTTCTTCTCAAGTTCTGCAAAGCCTTGAGTCTTGATATTTCATGTGTAAGATGTCTGATCAATTATCTATCAAGTTTGTTAATATAAATGACCTTGACCCACTTTCAAGGTCACAGGGGTCAATTATGTAAAATTCGTTAAATGGTAATTTCTCCATTGTTAAGCTGCCCAAAGTCTTCAACTTTGGACATAAATATTCTGTGGACATTTCCTGTCGAGTGATATAAGAGAAACGTACCTCAAAATTCAACTTCCGGTTTGCGGTAGGGGGTCAAAGTTGAAAATTGCTATTAAGGGTACCAATCTTTGAAAAACTTCTTCTCAAGCTCTGAAAGGCCTAGAGGCTCTATATTTCACACATATGAAGCATATGTAACTGGCAACGAAGTTTGATAATATAAATGACCTTGACCCACTTTCAAAGTCACAGATGTCAATTAACTAAAAATCGCTAAACGACAGTTTCTCACATTCTAGAAGGCACACAAAGATGAAAATTGATTATAAACCTTCTGTGGATACTTCCTATTGATTGTCATAAGAAAAACTTCCTTAAAATTTCAACTTCCGGTTTCTTAATGGGGTCAAAGTTCAAATATACAAAATAGGGTACCAGTGTTCAACAATTTTCTTGTCAAGTCTCACAAGGTCTAGAGAACTAATATTGGTGATATATTGATCATCAGATGTTACATTATAAGGCTTGCAAATATGAATAACCTTGACTGACATTTAAGGTCACAGGGGTCAAATATGTTTGAACCTTTAAAAAGTGTATTTCTTCGTTATTATGTAGTTATATCTCCTTAACGTTTCAAGATTCAAAGTTCATCTTTGGATATGTTGTAGAGACTTACAAACAAGGAACCTTTCTCATATATCGTTATCAGGATAAATGTCAACTTCCGGTCAACTTGTTGCCAAAGAAGTGAAAAGCCCGACAAATTGTTAACAACAATTTCTAGTTATTTTATTTTATCCTGTGACATGACATATCCTTGTCGAAATACGCCACGCTCGATTTAAAATAAAGATGGGTGTCTTAATTTAGAAACAGTTTATGTTGGTCTGTGCTTTGTTTATTTATTGTCTTTCCTCGTTTCATTGCAAATCAAAATATCATTATTTTCCCCCTATATCAAAGTAAGCTGTAAGCGTATCCCGGCATAGTGAAAACGTTTTAAATCGTCTGTCCACCAGACCCATCCCCCCTCCCACTACTCCGCCAATCATCCTCCACCTGATTGAGACTTTTTTATTTGTTTGCCAATTACAATATTACATTGTTTAAATGCAAGTAACGCGTCACTGCTTTCTCGATGCATTTCACAATCGGCTGCAATACTCGGGCTTAAAATGGATGACCTATTAAGCACGCTACTTAATCACCGTACTTCTAGCTCATATCTCGAGTCTTTTTTTCTGAGTTTCACATGATACTTGTCACGAATTTTTAGCTTAAAGTGAGCACCTATATTTTGTGGCCGTCTACGTCCGCTATCTTGAAAAGACCAGTACTTAACGGGTACAGGACAGTGACAAAAGGTTTTATGTAAACATTCGAGATATGAGATTCGCCATTGAAGGCAGATAGTCCGAGATATGAATCGTCGCATTAGATTGTCTAACCGAGATGTGAGAATCGTTACAGAACGTTATTTGATTTCAGGACATGTTATATAAACATCACAGTAGTTACAAACTGTGTGGCCGTAAAATTCAATACAGATACATCAACACAAATTACATATGACGATGCCATGTACATCCAGACCTGGTTCATTTCTATAAAAGATTTTTTCAGACATTCATTTTATCGGTTAAAACTGCGAACTTACATGAGGGGATATCGTCAAAACATCCGAAGAGCCCTGTAGACCAATGTCTGTGTCCAGAAGTGCCAGTGACCATCAAGGCATTATTAATCTGCGGCTGAGTGGTCACTACAACATTTGTGACGGACGTCGCCATTTGGGGAGGCATATTCACCGGTACGGGATCCATGTTCATTGTTTCTGTTTGGTATTCCCTGTAGAAGGAGAGAGACGTTGTATATATACCTCAGCTTGCACAGGTATGCTTTGGCTGTACAGATTCTTTTGTTGTCTGCTTCTAACCGAGTCACTAAATACTACCGTGTGCGGTGCCTGGTTTTCCCAAGTCACTCCTTAATTAGGTCAAAAAATGTGTTATACACGATAGACACACTAGCGTACAGCTATCAACTTGTATCACTTGACCCCAAAGTGGGACTGAAAACAACCGCTGCTATAAAGGCACACGTACAAAATTTACATATGTATGGGCACATGAAGGCATAACTTCACGTTGAGACATGCCTCAAATTGTAACCAACTGTTAATTTTATGCATGCAACACTGAAATCAGCCTTTTAAAGTTTTAAAATTTTATAGCGTTGATTTATTATGTACTTAAGCATCAGCCGGTAACTCTTGATTCCTTATTTGGAAGGACATTATGGTAGTACCGTTGATCGATTACCGTGTCTGACACAAATATTTTCACTAGCACTGGAACATGAGAATTGAGACACGTGCATTCTAACGGCTTGTTTGGATAGCTTCGAGAAATTCATCTCATCCAACAGTAATTAGAATTCTGAATCAAAACACAGTTAACAACAACAACTCACCGCTACACTCAACAACAAACATCACAGTTAATGTAACATACAGTTAACAACAAACATCACAGTTAATGTAACATACACTCAACAACAAACATCACAGTTAATGTAACATACACTCAACAACAAACATCACAATTAATGTAACATACAGTCAACAACAAACATCACAGTTAATGTAACATACAGTCAACAACAAACATCACAGTTAATGTAACATACACTCAACAACAAACATCACAGTTAATGTAACATACACTCAACAACAAACATCACAGTTAATGTAACATACAGTCAACAACAAACATCACAGTTAATGTAACATACACTCAACAACAAACATCACAGTTAATGTAACATACAGTTAACAACAAACATCACAGTTAATGTAACATACACTCAACAACAAACATCACAGTTAATGTAACATACACTCAACAACAAACATCACAGTTAATGTAACATACAGTCAACAACAAACATCACAGTTAATGTAACATACAGTCAACAACAAACATCACAGTTAATGTAACATACACTCAACAACAAACATCACAGTTAATGTAACATACAGTTAACAACAAACATCATAGTTAATGTAACATACACTCAACAACAAACATCACAGTTAATGTAACATACACTCAACAACAAACATCACAGTTAATGTAACATACACTCAACAACAAACATCACAGATAATGTAACATACAGTCAACAACAAACATCACAGTTAATGTAACATACAGTTAACAACAAACATCACAGATAATGTAACATACAGTCAACAACAAACATCACAGTTAATGTAACATACACTCAACAACAAACATCACAGTTAATGTAACATACAGTTAACAACAAACATCACAGATAATGTAACATACAGTCAACAACAAACATCACAGTTAATGTAACATACAGTTAACAACAAACATCACAGATAATGTAACATACACTCAACAACAAACATCACAGATAATGTAACATACACTCAACAACAAACATCACAGTTAATGTAACATACACTCAACAACAAACATCACAGTTAATGTAACATACACTCAACAACAAACATCACAGTTAATGTAACATACACTCAACAACAAACATCACAGTTAATGTAACATACACTCAACAACAAACATCACAGTTAATGTAACATACACTCAACAACAAACATCACAGTTAATGTAACATACACTCAACAACAAACATCATAGTTAATGTAACATACACTCAACAACAAACATCACAGTTAATGTAACATACACTCAACAACAAACATCACAGTTAATGTAATATACAGTCAACAACAAACATCACAGTTAATGTAACATACAGTCAACAACAACAACTCACCGCTACACTCAACAACAAACATCACAATTAATGTAACATACAGTTAACAACAAACATCACAGTTAATGTAACATACAGTCAACAACAACAACTCACCGCTACACTCAACAACAAACATCACAGTTAATGTAACATACAGTCAACAACAAACACCACAGTTAATGTAACATACAGTCAACAACAAACACCAAAGTTAATGTAACATACACTCAACAACAAACATCACAGTTAATGTAACATACAGTCAACAACAAACACCACAGTTAATGTAACATACAGTCAACAACAAACATCACAGATAATGTAACATACACTCAACAACAAACATCACAGTTAATGTAACATACAGTTAACAACAAACATCACAGTTAATGTAACATACAGTCAACAACAAACATCACAGATAATGTAACATACAGTCAACAACAAACATCACTGTTAATGTAACATACAGTCAACAACAAACACCACAGTTAATGTAACATACAGTCAACAACAAACACCACAGTTAATGTAACATACAGTCAACAACAAACACCACAGTTAATGTAACATACAGTCAACAACAAACATCACAGTTAATGTAACATACAGTCAACAACAAACACCACAGTTAATGTAACATACAGTCAACAACAAACACCACAGTTAATGTAACATACAGTCAACAACAAACATCACAGTTAATGTAACATACAGTCAACAACAACATACTGTCAACAACAAACATCACTGTTAATGTAACATACAGTCAACAACAAACATCACTGTTAATGTAACATACAGTCAACAACAAACATCACAGTTAATGTAACATACAGTCAACAACAAACATCACAGATAATATAACATACAGTCAACAACAAACATCACTGTTAATGTAACATACAGTCAACAACAAACATCACAGTTAATGTAACATACAGTCAACAACAAACATCACAGTTAATGTAACATACAGTCAACAACAAACATCACAGTTAATGTGACATACAGTCAACAACAACATACTGTCAACAACAAACATCACAGTTAATGTAACATACAGTCAACAACAAACATCACAGTTAATGTAACATACAGTCAACAACAACATACTGTCAACAACAAACATCACAGTTAATGTAACATTCAGTCAAGAACATCACAGTTAATGTAACATACATTCAACAACAAACATCACAGATAATGTAACATACACTCAACAACAAACATCACAGTTAATGTAACATACACTCAACAACAAACATCACAGATAATGTAACATACAGTCAACAACAAACATCACAGTTAATGTAACATACAGTTAACAACAAACATCACAGATAATGTAACATACAGTCAACAACAAACATCACAGTTAATGTAACATACACTCAACAACAAACATCACAGTTAATGTAACATACAGTTAACAACAAACATTACAGATAATGTAACATACAGTCAACAACAAACATCACAGTTAATGTAACATACAGTTAACAACAAACATCACAGATAATGTAACATACACTCAACAACAAACATCACAGATAATGTAACATACACTCAACAACAAACATCACAGATAATGTAACATACAGTCAACAACAAACATCACAGTTAATGTAACATACACTCAACAACAAACATCACAGTTAATGTAACATACAGTTAACAACAAACATCACAGATAATGTAACATACAGTCAACAACAAACATCACAGTTAATGTAACATACAGTTAACAACAAACATCACAGATAATGTAACATACACTCAACAACAAACATCACAGATAATGTAACATACACTCAACAACAAACATCACAGTTAATGTAACATACACTCAACAACAAACATCACAGTTAATGTAACATACACTCAACAACAAACATCACAGTTAATGTAACATACACTCAACAACAAACATCACAGTTAATGTAACATACACTCAACAACAAACATCACAGTTAATGTAACATACACTCAACAACAAACATCACAGTTAATGTAACATACACTCAACAACAAACATCACAGTTAATGTAACATACACTCAACAACAAACATCACAGTTAATGTAACATACACTCAACAACAAACATCACAGTTAATGTAACATACACTCAACAACAAACATCACAGTTAATGTAATATACAGTCAACAACAAACATCACAGTTAATGTAACATACAGTCAACAACAACAACTCACCGCTACACTCAACAACAAACATCACAGTTAATGTAACATACAGTCAACAACAACATACTGTCAACAACAAACATCACTGTTAATGTAACATACAGTCAACAACAAACATCACTGTTAATGTAACATACAGTCAACAACAAACATCACAGTTAATGTAACATACAGTCAACAACAAACATCACAGATAATGTAACATACAGTCAACAACAAACATCACTGTTAATGTAACATACAGTCAACAACAAACATCACAGTTAATGTAACATACAGTCAACAACAAACATCACAGTTAATGTAACATACAGTCAACAACAAACATCACAGTTAATGTGACATACAGTCAACAACAACATACTGTCAACAACAAACATCACAGTTAATGTAACATACAGTCAACAACAAACATCACAGTTAATGTAACATACAGTCAACAACAAACATCACAGTTAATGTAACATACAGTTAACAACAAACATCACAGATAATGTAACATACACTCAACAACAAACATCACAGATAATGTAACATACACTCAACAACAAACATCACAGATAATGTAACATACAGTCAACAACAAACATCACAGTTAATGTAACATACACTCAACAACAAACATCACAGTTAATGTAACATACAGTTAACAACAAACATCACAGATAATGTAACATACAGTCAACAACAAACATCACAGTTAATGTAACATACAGTTAACAACAAACATCACAGATAATGTAACATACACTCAACAACAAACATCACAGATAATGTAACATACACTCAACAACAAACATCACAGTTAATGTAACATACACTCAACAACAAACATCACAGTTAATGTAACATACACTCAACAACAAACATCACAGTTAATGTAACATACACTCAACAACAAACATCACAGTTAATGTAACATACACTCAACAACAAACATCACAGTTAATGTAACATACACTCAACAACAAACATCACAGTTAATGTAATATACAGTCAACAACAAACA